ATCTGTAAAACATTTTGTACTGGTTTTCCTTGTATGCAACTGATAGTGTCATTTTTAAGTTTGTTCCCCCCAAAATTTTCCCATTTATCCAATTCAATATTATAGCCAAAGTTCTGTGCCCGTTTTATCATTTGTTCTTTCATGATTTCCTCTTCCATTTTATCTACATCTATCTTAACATGATTTGGGAAACTGCTTTTCCCCCATCCAATTCAAAAAGCCTGTATTTTCTCAGTGCCTCCAGTTAAGAGGAATTCTCAAGGCTCTCAAAACCTTTTATACCAGCATTGAAAGAATCTGAAGATACCTGTGAACCAGTGACCCTTCACTTCTCTCTTGCCCTGCTTGCAACGCTGTTGAGTTTTGAGAGCTGCCCTTGGATATTTTTAATTTTCAATAGCTAGCAAATTTAACCCTGCCAACGTGATTCATATTGTCCAGGCCTGTTCCCATAGAAACAGCAGCATTTTCTTGGGCTGATCGGAATATTGTTTCCATCGTCCTTACACGCTGGAACATTTTTAATCACTTCATTAAATAATGAACAAATGCAAATTTTGCAATGGGTGCACTGAATAACAGACCTTGCTGAGCACCACAACCAGGCTTACCAATAGGCATTGTAGGACAGTGTTTTTTTCTGCATCCCGGGTAACCAAGTTCCATTAAATGCTGTTTAATGATGGATGTTTACAATCCAACCTAGAAGAACAGGTTAAGTATGAAGGAAGGAAACAAGCACTTCTACCTCCTAGTTATGCAAGCTCTCCTTTGAACTGTGTGCCCTATTTAAAGCTTGAATGAAGTCAACATATATATTTTTTCCTCGCAACAGGTGACGGCTATAAATTTTTGTCCTGCCTCAGACATCCGAGAGTTCTTAATTGTGGTCATCATAAGGAATAAACAAAACCTGAATAGCTGCTTCCGCTTCACTAAATTTGCTGTTTTAATCTTGATAACAAACTATGCAAATCAAAGAGCATGTAAGACTGACTTTTTCAAACTTGGCCACAACAGTACCTGGGCACAGCAGAAAGACTGGCAAAAGAAAATGAAAATAGTCATAGGCGCCTTGGGTGTGATGTTAAAACATCTGGAGCACCGCTGGAACACCATCACAGCATTGACGAGATCGCCATTGGTCAATTGCCAAAGGCAGCCTTGCTTGGAAACAACTTCCACCCTGCAGCTATACCTTTCACACCATCAAACGTCCACCTCTGCCTATCCCAGGTCTTTGGGAAGGATTCAATAGATCAGTGGCAGTCAACCTGGTCCCTACCACCCACTAGTGGGCGTTCCAGCTTTCATGGTGGNTGAGTCAACCGTGAGCCAGTAAGAATCGAACTCCTGGCAGTGGGCAGAGTAAGCCTGCAGTACTGCATTCTAAACACTGCGCCACCACAGAAGGAAGGAAGGAAGGAAGGAAGGAAGGAAGGAAGGAAGGAAGGAAGGAAGGAAGGAAGGAAGGAGGAAAAAATAGCAATAGCACTTATATAGCTTGTCGATCAGAAGTTCGGCGGTTCAAATCCCTAGCACCACATAATGGAGTGAGCTCCCGTGACTTGTCCCAGCTTCTGCCAACCTAACAGTTCAAAAGCACGTAAAAAATGCAAGTAGAAAATTAGGAACCACCTTTGGTGGGATGGAAATAGCGTTCCATGCGCCTTCAGCATTTAGTGTTGCCGGCCACATGACCACGGAGACGTCTTTGGACAGCGCTGGCTCTTCGGTTCAGCTTTGAAACGGAGATGAGCACTGCCCCCTAGAGCTGGGAATGACTAGCATATATGTGTGCAATGGGAACCTTTACCTAATGGAAATACTAAACTAGGGGTTTTTTAAAATTGCTATTCTGATGTGCGTGTGTGTTATTTTAAACCCAAAGAGTTACTTCAATTTTAATCAGAGTGTTTTTTGCATGTTTAGAATAATCAAGCAGACTTGGAAAATGCTACCGAAGTCCTTTCTGGGTATCTGGAACGAGATATATCTCAAGACTCACTGCAGGATATAAAGCAGAAAGTGCAAGATAAATACAGGTACCCCTTTGTTTCGGACAGCACGGCTCAAAATATTTACCATTGATCTTGAATTCACCTGTAGAACATTTGAAATTGGCAGGAAACATATTCCCTCTGTGTCCAACTTCCGATTCAAGCAAATCTTCAAGACCGTTGAAATGAGAAAAAAAAAAAGTGCAATATAGGAATTAAATTAACAGTTAAAAATTGGGTGAAAGAAGTGCTTTGTTCCTCTATTGAGAGATTGAAGGGGCAGTTTGGCTCCTGAAGGATTATATTCTGTAAGTCTGGAAGCTGATCATGAAAATGGCTTCTCTGTTGGGCTGAATAAAAAACATCGTGCGTGCATCTGCATGTCTTAATAGAACAGAATGGAATAGAATAGAATTCAAAATGAATAGAATAGAAAATTCAGAATGAATAGAATAGAATTCAGAATGAATAGAATAGAATTCAGAATGAATAGAATAGAATTCAGAATGAATAGAATAGAATTCA